CCTCCCCTTCACAAGCATTGCGGTGCAAGTAGTGTGCATTGGCATCAAGGGCCGGTTCACTCAATGTTAAAAGGCGGGGGACTAAGTTTGTTTTCCTCATTCACCCGGACCTGGGCAAGATAGCGCAGCTGTTTGCGTTTTGGCGCGCATTTTCAAGTAAGGTTGTGCGAATTAATGTGTTGGCGCGTGTAGAGATTATTCAAGAGTATTATCTGCTTTTCTAATGATGTCAGATTAACTTGATTTAAATAATATTTTTAAATATTTGTATTAGAATGTTTATCTTAAAACCAAAAATTGTAAAGTGATTTACTTACCCTTATTACTTTAAAAGCAGAAAAAAAGTGAAAACATGAAGTTTTAAATTGATCATTTTCCTTATGTTTGTTTTAGTTGTTTTTTTTCACACAGATACTATACATTTGAGGGGTCTGGTGCAATTATTACTGCCCTAACGCCACAAAATCTTTTAAATGTAGTACTTTATAGTTTTCATCACTTCTCATGTGTTTCAACGTTATGGGAAATAAGGCTTGGTAGCAACACCTGGTCAGCAATGGGTCAGAAAAAGACATTCTTTAATCCAAAAAAATCCTCTTACTTTTAAAAACAAAACTTATTTCACAAAAAAAACTACTATATTATATACCTATATTAGACAGTTTTTTTGAAATATTAAATTCTATTATAGTCTGTCTGTTCCTTCCATTAAATGGTATTTAACAAATATATACAAGAAAAAGGTTAACATTATTAAAATTCAAGTAAGATTAAATCGTTTTTATTAGTTTTTAGCACATATTAATGTTTTTTTTCTAAGTTGGGGAGTATCAATAAAATCCATTTTATTATATGCTATCTTTCTCTAAAGATGTTACACTTTTTGTGGGCATTAGCAAAACATTTTACTCCAATCTAGAATTACAAATATGGCTTGAAGATTTTATCGTGTTTTTCTGAAACAAGCTCGGTGTGTGTATTGTTCTTAAATTGCTATTAATCTACAGACGAATGAAAATGCTAAGATAAAAACTAATATATCAAATCCAAGTCCTTAGTAAATTTAACTACTACAAAGTGTTTATTGTTCATTTCAAAGCATGCTCATTTTATGTATATAACTTTGTAATTTTTCTTTCTGCGAAATTCTTCAATTCTGTGAAAAAGTTTAAAGAAATATGATATTCGTGATTAACTATGTAATGATTTAAGTCTTCATCTCTATAACTTAATATTTGTTAATATTTGAAAAAATAACTTAATGATTTTTAAAAAAGTTATCATTTGTTATAAATCATGAATTGAAATCATACCACCGTTAAATTTTTGGTGACTTTAATAGCCGAAACAATGGAATTGTAATTTTTGATACAAATATCAATCATTGTTATATTGGGTAAGTCTTTCAAAACGGCAAAGGATGAACAAATTTATAAATTAATACTAGTTTTTATGTTTGGGCAAGTTGATTCGTCTTTTTAGTTAGTAAAATAACATACCGGTAAATATGTTTAGTGTTCTGGGATTAACCGAAGGGAATTTGCATTGTTTACAAAAAAAATCTTTTATGAAATGAAAATTTGGTGGGGAAGATACATAACAATTTTAATTTGGCCGTTTCTGCTAGTTTTAGGGCAGATCTTAACTTAAAATAAAATAACTGGCACAGATTTCCTTAATGTTAAGGCAGCCAATACAAGATTTTTTTTATTTTCTAACAGCTACCTGATTGGTTACTGCCATCATTACAATATTTCCACTAAGTCCACACACAAATCTCATTGAAACCTACACATGGGCAAGAACAATACTGAATTTTACGAATGACAGATTTTGACGGTATAGTAGAAAATTGGATTAGATTTTTACTATAATTATCAATCATTTATTACAGGATTTTTTGTTCAGAATGTTTCATTTAGGCATTGCAACTTTGGCTACATTTAAATTAAAATTCATCTATAATATATTAACCTTTCTTAGCACTGAAAGTATGTTGAAATATCTAAAAAAGTATTATACCTATCTTAATATTTTTAAAATATGGTTAGATATTTTAGGGTATATTATTTAATTACACACAGTTTTTTTCTTATTACACATTCGAAAACGAAAGTTTTTTTAATTGTTCACTTCAAAAAATTGTATTTGATTATTTATTAATATATTTTCTCAGTGCTTGTTAAGGAAAAGTTTTTCTAAACAAGGCAATTATCTTCGAAATATATATTGCTGAAATAATATATTTGGTTATAATATCGAGACTAGCAGCATTGCAGCATCAAAGGAAAAAAAGATTTCAAACTTGGCACACTTTGTAATAAGATTCTTGAATGTTTCTTTGAGAAAGAACCAAAAAAAAGGGCCTTTTTTTTTGGGGGCCCCCCCTTTGGTAGAAACACTGTTGATACAATCAATCTTCTATGTTAGTGAAGTCGAATTCGTTTGTATCTTGCCAAGTACATCATAACTGCCACTCGAAGATGCAACCTCCAAGAATGGAAACTTAACGTCGTACACTAAGCAAAAAAAATTAAATTAACATTCACATACATTAATGAGGGATGGGTACCTATTCTAGAAAATGCAAACAATCATGAATATGACTATTTGAAAATTAGACATTTTGACTGATTTTTAGACCAGGGTCAGTGCCCAATGATAATGGAAATATACAATGAACATAATTACAAAACGTGTTCCAAATACCATACGAAATAATTATAACTACAATACGTTTAAACAAATAGAACAGAATAAATGACAATGTACAGGTTAGTTATACTACATGGATTTAACGGGATTTTTAAGACACTATTTTGCATGGTGTAAAATGTTCACAAATTAAATAATCATTACAATTTAATGCACAAGATTCCAAATGAATTATAAATCACCTCCACTGCTGTAGGGTGAAAAATCATAGCAATGTACTTGTCTAGCACCAGTTTTCTTAAATATATCTGCCAAAATACTGAAACAAAGTTTTTAGACATGACAAATAAATATCGCGACATAATTCACATTTACTTACAATGCACAACATTCTACATACTAACAAACGCTGAAAAATTCGATAAAAAATGAGCAACCTACCTGCTATGCAGCCCTGGCAAAACGTAACGAAAAACAAACACGCCTAACATTTGCCAGCTTTTTGGGGGATTGGGCATGACGTTCACACGTTTTAGTTTTGGCTCACGTCGACTGTTGTAGATGGCGCAAAAATCATTACCCCGTTTTGACCGCCAAGTTTCCCTACCCTGATTGGCATCATCTTTCCGATCCGTAGACAAACTATGTGAATGATGTATTCCGATCTTTGCGTCCAGTTCGTATTATGCATTGAGATTGAGAATGGTTTCCAATTCTGTAAAATGCCTGAAAACAGTCAATGTGATTATGATACAATGCTGTGCTTGAAGAGAATTGGGCCACCTCGGCCTGATATAAAAAAAATTACAATCTGATAGAAATGGCAATCGTTCTTTTGTACGGAAAATTCAAAGGGGTAAATGGCTTTCGTAATTTTAGGGGGAATTTAGCCTTGTGATTTCCCCCTATAACAGGTTGATCGCGTTTCACAGTACTTTCCGTTCGTGAGCTAGCAAACTGAACTCTGAGCTGGATGTGCTATATAAAAGAATCTGAGAGAGCGTTTTCACATTGAAAAGATTATAGACATTTTTAAGAAATACCATATCGGAAGAGAGATTGAATGGACTTTGTATGTTTTCTGTATAGAAAGACTTTTGTTACGAGACTCATTCCATTTTGAAGAATTAGTAATAGATTTACAGAATGTAACAACAGAAGACTCAATTTAATTTATAGATCATGTGTTTAGCCTATCTTCCGGGGACATAATTCGATTGTAAATATTACTTATGGGACTTAAACAATCCAAATATAACAATTTTTCAAATGCCTAACATTGTTTGATCCTGTAATTTTGTGTGCCCTCCCTGTTGCCTAATTCCAGAGCCGCCACTGGCTCTGTGCACTCCGTTACATAATCGTTGCTCACGTGACCAACTACGTCACGCCACCCCCACCGCGGTCTATTGCTAGCCATCAGGGTTTGGGTCTTCGTTTCTTAAGACCGGAAGACCCCCAAAGCCTTGTGTCTCCCGTTTCCGCGTTATTGCTTTAAGGAAAAAACCCTTCTCTCCTTCCTGTGGCGAGGTGTTTCCTCTTGCTAATGCCTTACCAAGCGCCTCCAAATAGATGCAACGAGGCTCGCTGGCAAATACGTTACAATAATATTTACTTCGAATCATTAAAAAAGTATCGACTTGACGTGAGTCGATAAAATAATGTTTTTTATTTTTTAAATACAATGTCGACGAAATTCACAACCAGATCCTAAATAAACCAAAAGAAAGCAAATATCATTATAAATATCAAATTTTATAAGACACACGAACTTCGGCAACGGCATAATAAAGCCAAAAACTTAATAATTTTCTAGGACTTGCTTACGCGCACAGCAGAGGTTGCCACCCAACAATTTCCCGCCAAACTTGACGTCATACTGAACATTTCTATTGTGATAAAAAACTCCCGATTGGATGATAGAGTTGTCAAGTGACTTTTGCAAGAATTGCAATTTCTCACCATTATTGCAATAATATTTTAATCGAAGTACACAATGTCTGGGGCAACCCGCGCAATGCTGCCATTCTGAGAAGAGAAAATATTTATAATATACTTTTACCATCAATACTTTGCGAAGCATCGTTCACATAAGTATAAAATAAGATCAGCCACTTATATTCATGGGAATCTTCAATATTTAATTAAATGTAGATCAATACTTACACAATTCATTGTTTTGAATTTCCCTGCCAAGGAGATGACGTAACAATTACTTTCGAAATTTGAATGCGCTCCTGTGACCATGAACAAGAGCCGCACATAACACAATAGTGAATGTATATTTGCTGATAGTGATCACGGTTTGTATTTTTCAAACTACGAGTTTCGTTATAATTTCTTAATATGGCATCTATAATTACCAATAAAGGTACGTGAGTAATGAATACATAATTACCAATAACAATTTGCTAAATGCAGTACCTACATTGTTGCAATTACAACTGAGCAGTCTTGCAAAAAAAAAAAAAAACTATTAACAGAATGAATTTTTTTTAATGTTTGTTTTGAAAACAGGGTTTAAAGCGTTATTCGCATTTAATAATTTTTCAAAGATTAGTCTTTGCATAAGATCAGCAGGTTCAATCCATTCTGATCCGGAAGACAAGCGACCAGAGAACCAAGAAAGGGATCTTGTAAATTTCCCTCGCCCACAACGGGCTGAATATCCAGGAAAAGTGCGTTTGGGATTTATTCCTCAGGAGTGGTTTGATATATTGTATCATAAAACTGGAATTACAGGTTTGTATCAGTAGACATTGCCAATTTATATTAAAAATGGGGCAACTTAGTGGGATAAATTTCAATTGTCAAAACCATCTTCAGTTAATAGATGTCTTCATGCATATTCACATACATTTCAGAATTTTTCTCTTGCCATATCATAATTCCACTGGTCAACAAGATTTAGGCCTTACAAGAACCAATAGGTGTACCTAATGCAGTTTTTTAATCTAGTTTTCAAATATGTATTTAGAATTTTACCATCTCCCACAGTTTTTGTTTTATTTCAATTTTTAAATATTTGTAAACATTTTTTTGTCCATTTGGCCATTGTCAAGAACAATATCCTTGAGCATTAAATGTGATGGAACCAAATGAGCTATCTCAAATGGGAGCGTTGCTACTGTTGTGCAGGTTCAGACATGTGTAGTCATGTACAAATGTGATCTAGAATAGCACACATTTATCAGAACTATGTCAGTTGTGAGATAGGTAGTTGTGAATCAGTGAACACATCATTGTGAGTGGTTTATGTACCTTAATTATTATATCTTTTATGTTTACATATTTATTTATTTTCATTATTCACTAGTTTGTCATTAGTTAAAATGCCTACAGATTAGAGAGAACCCAAAGATCACTCCTCTGACTGCTATTTCTGCTTATCAAAGATTACAGGAATAACATCAAAATCAAAACATACAGTGGTGTACCCCTAACTTCAAATCTGCGATGAGACCAGATCAACACTAAAGAACTGCCCATACCAAAGCCTCCAAAGCGTGTTCAAATTCTGATAGAAGTATGCAAGAAAAAGAAACAGATTCTTCTGGTGATACACATTTTGAACAAAGACTCATTCATTCTCTGGGAGATCTCAAAGATTTCATAAAAAAATTTAAAGTAATCTAAATTACAGACTGAAATTCTTGGTTCACGGATAAAAGACTTGAATTGTCTTCAAAAGAATACAAAGATAGTACATACTTATCGTAATTGTCATTTTGATTTTAAAGACTTTTTCTGAAGAATATGGCTTAGTATTTTGTAATGAGACACTTGGAAATGAACATTCCCAACAGAACAGCACTTGTTCATTGATTCCTCTAAAGTTAGTTTTAAAGTTGTTCTTCTGCATTACATTACAATCGCATTACATTCCTATCAGTACCAGCGGTGCACTGCTAGTATGAAAGAAATATGAAAACGTTTAATTTATATGGGAAAAGCTTCAGAATGCTGTGATGAATGGAATATTTGTGGACTTGGTTTGCAACTTGGTTTCACAAAATAAGGTTTTTGGTGTGAATAGGGCAGTAGGGACAGAAAAAAACATTACATTAAAAAAGGGCCTAAACAAATCACTCATTCCTGAACAGAAAAAGTGAAACAAGACACATTATGTAATCTTAAGAATGTGTAACTACCTCTATTACATATAAAATTAGGATTAATGAAGAATTTCGTCAAAGATTTGGGCAATACTCTTGGTTTTATGTACTTTAAAACAGAAGTTTCCTAAAATTAGAAATGCAAAAATTAAAGACGAAATATTTAAGGGTCTACAAATATGATTATTAATGCATGATGAATGAAATGAGGAACTATTGTATCCGCCGAGAAAGCAGCTGGGCAAGCGTTAAAAAACATTTTTGAGAAATTGAAAGGTGGAAACTATTAAAATATTGTCAACACTCTATATATCTTTCAAAAATGCATCTTTCAAAAATGTGGGTTATAATATGGTCTTATAAATACAGTTCTGGCACATGCACCTAGATTTCTTCCCAGAAAATCTTGGCACAGTGAATAATGAGCACAGGGAACATATTCATCTGGAGATTTTAGCAATGGAAAAGATATATCAAGACAAATGGAATCTTTTGTTGGACTATTACGAGGAATACTCAACAAGCAAATTACAGCAGAAAGTACTCATTTCTTACTTTCAAAGCTTGGTCAGGATGTATGAATATTGTGTAGTTAAGAAAGCCAAACATATTAAAATATTTGAAATTATAAATGCCTGTCTCTCAGAAACCTTGTGTGATGGGGGAAAACTGATATCATATTTGAATTCAGGTGAAAAAATACTATCAGAATTACATATTTTTCTTTCAGAGATAAAGAAAAGTTTATTTATTGTTCCCTATAAGTTCCTAAGGGTACAATCAGTTTGCTGTTAATATACCTTCTAGATCTTCTTAGAAGGCTTATTTTCTCTTGAAATACGTTTATTACTTTTAACAGTGAAACTATACATGTCATTCACCTTGAGTTCATAAAAATCATGTAAATGTAGGGCCTGTTATGAGAGCCTTCTGTTTCAATATACTTTTCATTAATTTCACTTAGTTGATAAAGATAGTATATTCTGAATCAGTGAGACTACCAGTTCAAGTTAAATTGACCCTTATCTATCATCACTAAAATAGTTAAAAGTTATTGAAGTTCAAGTTTTCTTTGCCAAAATAAATAAATAAATTAATAATAAGATATAAAAAATAAAAAATTATCTTGACAAAAGAATTGCTTGATTGAGTTTTTCATCTGAACCTTGTGAAACAAATATATTCTAAGAATAGAAATTCAGGATTTTTTGAAATACACTTTTGAAATAACTTGTTTTTCATTCCCTCACTAACAGATCTGATGTTTTTGCATAAGAAAAAATAGCAACTATGTTTCACTCCAATAACATTTACTTCAATGTTGATTTTCATAGGTCCGTACGTTATCATGTTTGGAATTGCTGCATTTCTAGTCAGCAAAGAACTATATGTTTTGGAACATAATTTTTTCAATGGAGTGTCTATAGCTGCTACAAGTGCAGTTGGGATGAAAACTATTGGGCCCCATATTGCTGCCCATGCTGATAAAAGAATCGAGGTACAAGATCAAATTGAAATGATTCATTTGTCAGTCAGAGCCAGTTCCCGAGATCAAGACTGCTCCTTTAGGGCTCTAAGACGGCGCCTTTCGCATAAAAACCAACCTCGGAAAAAGTTGCAGAAAGTATTAAACTTACAATCGACTCGTTTAATTTTTGCATATCACCAGCGCAATTTTTGATGACATATTTAGTTTAAAAAGCCTGATTGAGCGAAAGAGAAATGTTTTTGGAATGGGCCGTTCATAGATTATCGCGAATCCGTCCGTAGCATGCTCTGACAGAGCACCCACACGTGAGCATGGGCCTTGTTTTCTCTAAGGCCATCTTGTTTGTCTATGCACACTGTAGCTGCCGCCAGCAAGGCAATGGAAGGTTGAGGAAGTGTGGGTGCACTGGAAGCTGGGTGGGGCAGCGTGCTGCAAGGGGTTTATTCAGTATATTCGGCATCCGCGGCTGTTAACTAAACTATGAATACCGGCCCTTTCATCTTATTTAATAAATTACCTATTTGTTTGCTGGATTAACTTTTAATATCTTAGTTTCGCGTGAGCACAATTGAATTTTCCGTAAAAGTTGTCTTAGACTTACTTTTACGGAATCAACGTAAAAGTTGTCTTAGACAAGGATTAAAATATCGATACGTGTAAATCGGTTGTACATTTCCTGCAATAGTTTTCCTCGGTCAAGAAATATCTTGAAGACGTAAAATGTATGTGATATTTCGGATTATATGCCGCCCCTTCTAATTCGTAACCCACCGGCCGTCACTGGTCACGGCATCATAAATCTAATTTTGTAATTTTTGTAAGCCAGAAGTAAAGCAAATGCAGACAAGTTTTACTTTGTTTATATCTCTTGCTGTTTTCTAATATACATTCCAAAAGTCTATGAACACCTTTGTTTTGTATTTGGATTATTAAGTTTGATATTGTGGCAACTTATAAGATGTTTATTTTAAATATTTGAAACAGAAACCATTATTTATCCCAACTCTTTCAGCGATTGTTAATTTATCACAAGCAAAATATTAAATGTTTCTATTCACAATATTACAATTATATACATTAGGAAATTTAATCCAATTGTAGTCTTATTTGAGACCTTCATGTTGAATGAATATCTTGAAAATGTGAAATGTTTAATTTTTGTTTACCATTTGTGTAAAGTACATTTGTCCTTTCTTTGGCTCTTTTTCAGCTCATTGAAAAGCAATACAAAGATATACACAAAGATGCAATTAGACAATATGAAGAGGCAATTATTCTTGAGAAACATGAACAATGGAGAGCAGAAGGGCAATTGCTTTTACTTGATGCAAAAAGAAAAAGTGTTGCTATCCAGTTAGAGGCTGAGTATAGAGAACGTGTGATGGATGCATATAATAAGGTGAGATTAAAAAATAAACTTCTACTATTGTCATTTGAAACCAAACCATACAAACTAACAATCATCATCCAAAATTCTCACAAATTTATACTCAATAAATGTACAAGTAAAATAATTATACCTTGAGGAGCACTAATTCTCTTATTGTTGAAGCCTTTTTTAATTTTAATGAAACATTATAGGAGGTACAATTATTTTAAGTTTGTTTTTCATACAGCTCTCATGTGATCTATGGGTAGCATTCCTCAAAATCCTTTTCTTAAATATATAAAAATTTAATTGAAATATTCATTTTTTAGTCCAATTTCATGCAAATTACTCCACTTCAATAAGCATTTAAATTCTGAAATCTAAATTGAAATATATATCATCCTTCATTAAAAGTGACTGACTGATTGATTGATTAAGACTGACACATTAAATAATACACATATGAATAGACTGTGTACTAAAAGTAAAATAATATTATTTATCAATTACTTGCTGCAAGAGTCATGGGACACTGTTTACAATACTGTTGATATAAACAATAAATATATTTATTTTATTTTCAACGCTTTCACTTCATATTAACATGCTCTCCTCTTCAAAAACCAAAATTAAATAATTCACGGAGAAGCAATTCTTAGATAACACAAGGGATAAAGACATCATGTAAAAACAAAAATTTCTTTCATTTCTAAGCATCATAACATATCTCAAGATTTCCTCCTCTACTTTAAAAATACAAGTCATTGTTAAGAAAAGTCATAAGGCAGGCTGAAGTCATGAAACATAATCAGGTTGTTTTGAACTCAAATAATAGAACAAAAGCAATGCGGAGTATAGAAAAAAATTCGACCAAATGAACTAGACTCCTTGTTGAGAAAGTTGTTTGAAAAGATGATAGAAATGTGTACGATCTGGCAACAGTAGCTAATCTCTTTAACCAATTTTTTTCGAGAATTGCCGCCTATCTCACGAAGGGTCTTCGGTCACAAAATTCAACATCAGACGTTTCCCCAAAATTTTGGACGCGATGTTCGTTTCCGAAACTTCTTCCGATGGCATTCTCAAAATAATCGGTAGACTAAAAAATTAATATTCGGCCGGTTTAGATGAATTTCCGGATTGTTCTTTAAAGACTTGTGCGCCCGCCATTATACACCCGTTAACTCACATATTCAATGAATCCGTATGCACAGGGATTTTTCCAGATATTTTTAAAATGGCTCAAATTAAAATGGTTTTCAAAAAAAGGTAACAAAAATGAAATTCAAAATTATCGGCCAATTTCTCTTTTGTCGCTTTTTTTCAAAAATATTAGAGGGACATTTTTACATACGAATGGAAACCTCTTAGGGTACGTTTATGTTGGAGCTGCGATAAACGATGAAAGCAGCGCTGCGAGCCAAGCAACGAGAACGTCGCCTTGTAATCAAATGGAGGTGTTCATGTTGGCACCGCGTTGCTCACAGGATCAGCGCTACGACCAGCGTTAAGAGCGGCGAAAACCCTTTGGTAGGTTTTCGCTGCTAGTATCGCTGGTCCGCGCTGTTCACAGCTGACACACTCGTCTTTAGAGTAATTTTGATGAGGACGGCCTGGATCAGTGTCCTTTACTGTCCTGGGTGTTGGTCTCATCTAATTATTGGTTGGCCAGCTGCCTCCCGTTCCCCAGAGGGCTGGGGGTGGGTAGGACTAGGATGCCTTTAGTGTTGTGACGGGTTTTTTCGTTTAGGGTTAAGCTTTTGGGGGGTTTAAAGATTGTTGAGATTTTTTGGGAGAGGGGGGGATTGAAGGGTTATTTTGTTGAGGGTGTTGTTGGTGTTTCTTGGATATTGATTTGTCGGGTGTTTTTTAGGTGGGTGGGGGGGATGTTGGAGGATATCTAGGGGGGTGCATTTTCCTGGAATGACGCGGAGGGGAGTTGAGAATATGTTAGTGAGGTTGAATGAAGTGAGTGAAGATGGAATTGTTTATGAACTGCTGCACCGTGTCTCGGGATGTGTTGAAGATATATTGGGGGAGGGGAGGGATGTTGTGTTGTGTTCGGAAGATGTTATAGTTTTGCCCGGGAAGAGGGTGAAAGATAAGGCGGATGATGCGGTTTTCAAGGATTTTTAAGTTTTATACCAGGAGTGGGGGATAGTTGACCAGGTGGGAGAGGCGTATGTAATGATGGATCTGATGTGGGTGTAATATAGAAGGAGTTTCTTGTTGACAGAGAGGGATGGATGGCGGAGGATGGGTTGGATAAAGTTGAATTTTTGGTTTGCCTTGGAAATGGTGGTGTTGAGATGGGGGGTCCAGGTTAGTTTGGAGTTGAAGGTGATGCCGAGGTATTTTATTTGCGAGGACCATTGGATAGGATTGTTATTGATGGTAATGGGTGGGAGGGGGTGTGGGATGTTTCGCCAAGTGAAGATGATTGCCTGGCATTTGGAAGGATTAATTTTGATGGAGTTTTCCTGGAACCATTGCGAGATAGTGAGAGCAGCTATTTGAAGGTTGTTGATGGAGTGTTGAGAAGTACGGTGGGGGAGAGAAGGGCTAGGTCATCTGCGTAGAGAAATTGTCTGATGCCGTGGCAAGAGGGAAGGTCGTTTAGGTACATTGAGAAGAGGGTGGAACTCCCGCCGAGATGGGGTGGGAGGGGAAAAGTGTGAGAGGTATTTGGTTTTGAAGGTTCTGTGTGTTAAGTAGTTAGATAGGAGATTTATAGCAAAGGTGGGAAGGTATGATGTCAATTTGAACAGGAGAATTTGGTTGTTGATTGTGTCGAAGGCAAAGGATAGGTCAGTGAAAAGGGCAGGTATTTGGCAGGATTTATGGCGAAGATCTGTGGCGATGTTGATAGCAAGGTGAAATGTTTGAAGTGCCGATGAACGGTCAGGGCGGAAGCCGAATGTGGGGTTGAAGGTAGGGATTCATGAATTTTAGAAGGATTTTCTCAAACAGTTTTCCGGTGATATAGAGGAGGCTGATGGGTCGGTAGTTTGTGGGGTATCTGGTGTCTTTATGGGGTTTGGGGATCATGATAACAGTGGCGGTTTTCAAAGTTTGGGGAAAGTGTGCGGTTGAAGACAGGCGTTTAAATTTGGTTAAGTGGAAGATTGCGTTTAGGGTAAGGTTTTTCAGATAGCTGGGTAGATTTTGTCAGTCCTGGGCTTTGTTGTTTGGAGGGATTTAATTCGCTTCAATGGTGTGTCATTTCGTATAGTCCACATAGTTTTTGTCTTTCTGGGGTTAGGGGCGGGGTTCGTATGAATTGAAGGATGGCGGAGTCTGGGATGCGAGAATTGGTGGAAGTGAAGCGAGTTGCAAGGGTGCTGGCAAAGGTATTTGTTATTTCCTGTGGGTCGTAGGTAAGAGAGTTTCCGGGGGTGAAGAGGGGGGATAGATGTGAGTTCTTCGGACGGATGGATTGGATTAGGGTGTGTAGTTTCTTGGGGTAGCCTGTATTGGTGTCCTGTATTAGGTCGTCGAATTTTGTTTTGTCAAATTGTACTAGTCTATTATGGAGCTGTTGCTTCAAGGTAATGTAAGTAATTTTGTCAATTAGTGATCGTTTCCTGTAGTAAAGCTTTTGGGCCTTGCATTTTTGTCTTAGTAATAGCAGTATGTCGGGAGGTAGGGTGGGGTGGGAGCGGGGGGTGAAAGTTGATGAGTTATTAAAGGCTTTTTTGACTTGGTGGTTGAAGTGTGAGATGGCTGAGTCGATTTCGTCTGGGGTGGTAAGGGAAGTGGGAGGGTGTATCTTCCTTGAGATATGTCGTTTGAAGTGGGACCAGTTGGTTTGGATGATTGATGACAAGTGTTGGGACGGGGATATTGAAGTGCGTGTGGAGAAGATTACAGGAAGATGGTCAGAGGTCAGTTCGTATCGTACGTATGGGGCAGTGACGTTGATATTATGGGTGTGGAGTATAATGTCCAGTATGTCGTGGGGGTTTTCTTGGATAAGGTGTGTCGGTTCTGGAGGGGCCAAAAGGATAATTTCTGGGTGGTCGTCTAGGGGTCCGTGGAGGATTCGTCCGTTCGTGTTGGTAGTTCGGCAACCCCAGTGTCTGTCTTTGCAGTTTAAGTCGCCGGCGATCATTGTAGGAGTGGGGGATGCGAAGAGGAGAGAAAGGTCTTGAGGGGCTAGATTTATGTGTGGAGATTTATATACTGAGGGAATGTTTATGGGTGAGTTGGAAGAGGATATTTATATGGTTGTTGATTCTATGGTGGTTGTGGGTGGAGAGGGTATGTGGGTGAGGGGAATGGTGTTTCGTATTAGGATGGCTGTTCCGTCTCTGTGAGTTGGTCTGTCAGAGCGGTAGATGGTGAAATTCGGAATAGAGAAGGGAATATGTGGTTTAAGGTGTGTTTCTTGCATGAGGAAGATGCCAATGGAATAGTCTGAAAGGAACTGTTTGATAGAGGGATTTTTGTGGGGTAGGTTCCCGTTGGAGTTCCAGGTACTTAAGATAAGAGGGTAGGAAGAGGGGGCCATTTAGAAGAGTTCGCAAAGTTTGGTTCCAGCGGAGATTAATTTGGAAAGGGTGTCGTCGGGGGATTTAAAGATGAGGATAATTTCTTTGATAGTTTGGAGAAGCTTAGGAAGGTTAAAAGTTTTTATTAGGGAGAGGAATTCTTTGAGGTCTGTGGCGGTGGAGGTGGATGATGATTCAAAGGTAGGTGGTGAAGCGTTTTGTGACGAAGGGGTTGGGGTTGTTACAGTGTTTGCGTAGGATCTGGTGGGGAGAGAAGGGAATGAGGATTGTTGAAGGTTGGCGGTGTTGTTGCTGGGGAGGGATTGTCTGATGTATTGTATTTTCTGGAGGTTGATTGCTCTCTGTTGTTGGTGTTGGATGAGGGTGGGGCATTGAGGGTCATTGGCAGGGTGTTCGTTGTTGCAGTTGATGCACAGGGGTTTGAAGTTGGCTTGTGATAGGTTGGGGCAGTTATCAGTTGGATGGGGTTGGGCTCAGTAGCAGCAGGTTGTGGTTCTGTGACAGTAGGATCGGGTGTGG